TCTGTCACCCAGGCTGGAGTGCATTGGTGCAATCAGCCCACTGCAGCCCTCATCAACTCCAGGGTTCAAGTTATTTTCTTGTCTCAACCTCCCAAGTGGCGCTAGAAGTAGAGGCATGAGCCACTGTGCCTGGCCCGAACTTTTTAAACATATATGGGATTATAATATAATTACCACTAATCTACAACTTGCATTTTTCTTAACTTTTTTTTTTTTTTTGGGATGGAGTATAGCTTTTGGTGCCCAGGCTAGAGTGCAGTGGCAAGATCTCAGCTCACTACAAGCTTCACTACCCGGGTTCAAGTGATTCTCCTCCCTCGGACTCTTGAGTAGCCAGGATTACAGGTGCCTGCCACCATGCCCAGCTAATTTTGTATTTTTAGTAGATATGGGTTCTCCATGTTGGTCAGGCTGGTCTCGAACTCCTGCATGAGCCACTGCGCCCAGCCCGCATTTTTCACCGAATAGAATATTGTCTTTAGTGGGTTATTTTTTATTTCTACACTCCTGGTAACTTGCAGAACATTCAGTGGATTTTTAAATGCCGAATCTGCATATTCTTTCTCTTAGTCTTGTCTAGACCATATTTTCCATTATATTTCACTAGATCTAGATGCTTTGTGAATGGAAACTTGCTTTTTTCAGTATCCTGAGTCAGAATTAGCCAAGTAGGAATGACTTTTGTTTTGCTTTATTTGCTTATTTTTTTGAGACAGAGTTGCGCTCTTGTTGCCCAGGCTGGAGTATGGTGGCGCGATCTTGGCTCACTGCAACCTCTGCCTCCTGGGTTCCAGTGATTGTCCTGCCTTATCCTCCTGAGTAGCTGGGATTACAGGCACACACCACCACTCCTGGCTAATTTTTTGTATTTTTAGTAGAAATGGGGTTTTGCCATGTTGGCCAGGCTAGTCTTGAACTCTTGGTCTCAAGTGATCTGCCCGCCTCAGCCTCCCAAAGTGCTGGGGATTACAGGTGTGAGTCATCACGCCCGGCCAGAAATGACTTTTAGATTACCCACCCTCTGTAACTGTCTGACCCTGTTGTTCAGCAAGAGTTAACCATGAGTCTGATTGTTTTCTTTTTTTTTTTGAAATGGAGTCTCATTCTGTCACCGAGGCTGGAGTACAGTGGCACAATCTCTGCTCACTGCAACCTCCACCTCCCGGGTTCAAGTGATTCTCCTGCTTCAGCCTCCTGAGTAGCTGGGACTATAGGCGTGCACCAGCATGCCCAGATAATTTTTGTATTTTCAGTAGAAATGGGATTTCACCATGTTGGCCAGGATGGTCTTGATCTCTTGACCTCATGATCTGCCCACCTTGGCCTCCCAAAGTGCTGAGATTACAGGCTTGAGCCACTGCGCCCAGCCGAGTCTGATTGTTTTCTGAGTAGCAGATGGAGCAGAAGAACTTCAGGGCGTGCAGGGAAGACTTCCCATATGATAGATGTTTTAAACCAGCTTTGAAAGAAAAGAAGGGATATAAATTAATCAATAACCAAGATTTTGTTTTTCTGTCTTGTAGCTGGAAAAGGATTTTGGTCTGAGATGCTGGGCGTGGGGGACTTCTATTATGAACTAGGTGTCCAAATTATCGAAGTGTGCCTGGCGCTGAAACATCGGAATGGAGGTGAGGGTGGCTAGGTCCTGTGAACTGGACTCTGGGACTTCTCTGAGAGGGAGAAAACCATAAAAGATTATCGTTTCCATCCTGCAGTCTACAGGTCTCTAAGGACTTGAGAAACATCTTAGCTGTTTCATGCAGTTGAATCCATGGCAAGTCTCCATGGCCAAGGGTAAATAGAATTACCTGAATGATTGTCTGTGTTTTCCAAAGATCTTTGGCCAGGAAGGTCTAGTCTCTAGTCTGTACAGAAAATAGTAAGGAGGTAGGAAATAGGCCTTTTCCCCTGATGTCTGATGTGTCTGGAGTGATTTTCTCATCAGTATCTGTAGGCCTGCACTGCCTCTCTGATGTATGGGAATGCAGCTGAGTCTCTGTGTTCCCTAAAATGTGTTTCCCTAAAATTAAAAATGGTCATCTGGGCCGGGCGCGGTGGCTCACGCCTGTAATCCCAGCACTTTGGGAGGCCGAGGCGGGTGGATCATGAGGTCAAGAGATCGAGACCATCCTGGTCAACACGGTGAAACCCCGTCTCT